ATATGCAGGCTAAAATCAATATTATCTAATCTATGGACCAAGTCCTTTAGTTAACTTCTTTATGTGTTTTCGTATGGAATGAAGGAAGATTTTATTGACAACGGAATAAATAATTCAATAGCCTATAATTGAATGCACCGAACATTAAATGAATGCATTAGAGATTTAAAAGTATTCTGACTTTTTCAAGCTTAAAAAAATATTTATTTTGCAAAGATTGTTGAAAAATTTCTAAACAGTATCATTGAGACTCTTTAATATTTAAATTCAACTAGGTTTTATTAACATTTCAATTATCACCGCATGAGTGAATTGAAAACAAGCTAAATTGTCCACATCTCAACATTAATTGCGACATTCTTGTATAGAAGACAAATGATGTGATATTTTATCAAATACAATGCATATTTTGGTTTTTCAGGGTAACGTTCTAAATTTTAACTCCAAAAGAAACTTGATTCGCATGTTTTTTGGTTACACAAGAAACTACCTCTATAAAAAGGAAGATGGGGTATGATTGCTAACTCTACACCACAGACCAAAATGAAATGACTTAGAAGTTAACAACTATAGGTCACCGTAAGGTCCTCAACAATGAGCAAAACCCATACCGCATAGCAAGCTATAATAAGTCCCGAAATGACAAATGTAAAACAATTCAAACGAGTAAACTAACGGCCTGATCTATAAACAAAACAATAAAAGAAATAATTAAAAACCAATTGTTCAAAGAACAATTGAAGGTCTTTCCACATCAATTTTCTAAATAATTGATAAGAAGATACCTCTGGTTTACTCAAAGTTACTATTGGCGTCCAATCATAGGTTTCTTCGTACTGATTCAATAAATATATGGTGTCCCTATACTTTTGCTTGAAATAAGGGAGATAATTGCCAACTTCTGGTTTAGAAAATGTCACGTCCGGTCTCATATGATAGCTTTATTCACACTGATTCCAAAAATATATAGTTTGTATATTCTTATGACTGTAATAAGGGAGATACTATGCTACTTCCGGTTTATAAAATGTCACTTCCGGTCTCCAATGATAGGTTAATGTATGCCCATTCAAAAAATATATGGTTTCTAGGTACTTTTCCATGGAATAAGTGCAAAAATGACTACTTCCGGTTCACTCAAGGTCACTTCCGGCTGACATTTTTCAAGGTCATATGTCACCCTATATTTTGCAAAAGACCTTATAGCTTTATCATGTACCAATCTGAAGTAATAATCATTTTTCCTTAAAATAAAACATTTCAGGAGCAATAACTCCTATAAGATGTCATTGGATTGTTTCAGACCAAATATAGCATATCTTCATCACAATAAAGCAAACATTTTGCACTAGTTTTCATATATAACTTTAAAAGTATCAGAGAAATGCAAAAACAAGCAAAAGACAAAATTCAGAACTTGACCTTGACCTTTGACCTTGACTTTATTTTCTAAGTTAGGACCCAAGAACCTCAATTAAAAAGACTATATATAAGTTTATACGACCTACGGTAACGAACAAATATGAAAAAGAATTTTGTCGTTATTTTTTTTAAGAACCTCAATTAAAAAGACTATATATAAGTTTATACGACCTACGGTAACGAACAAAAGAATTTTGTCGTTATTTTTTTTTTTTAGGTTACGGAGGAGATACACTAACAAAAAACAGTGTTTGGGGAGATAACTCTTACAATAAAAAAAAGTCTTCAGCTTAACAAGATGAGTTTTAAAAGCGCAATAACTGTTTGATATAATATCCAAAATATCTAAGCGAGATCTTGCGAAACAACTTTATACCGCAAGAAAAGGGTTTGGCGGAAGAAGAAAAAAAAATAATAATCAGAACAAATACAATAGGTCTTTCCACAGAAAAGTGGAAAGACCTAATAAAATATATATATGATTACAGCAAACAGCGACCAACACTGATTCACAGGGTCCTGAGTTGAGACAGGCACATATATAATTTGGAGGGAATAATCATGTTGGCTTGGGCCACAGCCTCCCCTAACCTAGACAGTGGTGTAATAGTTCAACATGAGAACACAAACAATAAAAATCAAAAACACAAAAGACACAAAGAATAGACGTGAGAGCACTTACAGTTACTGAAATCCAATTCAAAGCCAATAAAAACTGATAAGAATAGCAACTAGTACACACTCTACATCTTATGGATTTAGTGTAAAGACGTTATTAATTGTCAGAGAAAAACATGACCTAATGTACATATGTGCAAAACAATGATATTTAGTTGGGTTTTAATTTGTTGATAACAAAATCAATATTTATACAGATGGAAAACAAATGGGTATATGAGAATTAAACATCAGTAAGGTACAGTAACTGTTGCCTCTAATGTATCCACCTACTCGCATACTTTATGTTTATTCCAAAAACGGAATGACAGCATATTCTAAATGGATTCAAGTGTGTACGCTAAGAATACCTGCCCTATTCCCCATTACTAAACATATTGATTCTATAAAAAGTCATTTGACATCAATAAAAATTGGAAGATTTGACGATTGTCAGCTGAGTGAATCATAAACCATAAACATCAAGATGAACAGGTAATACCTTGATGACTAACACGGGGCGAAAATCCATTTATCAAATAAAAAGATGCGTTCTCTTAGCGTAACTATACACTTGAATCCATATTCTATTCAGTTTGCGGATTTTCGAGTGAAAATAAAGTATGCGAGTAGTTGGATACATTAGGGGCAACAATTACTGTAGTTTACCGATGTTTAAATCTAAAAATCCACTTAGAAGATACAAATCAAGGTAAAAAAAAACTGAGGGTATCGCAGAAACTTCAAAGGGAGCGATACCGGTTGCTTCGACAGAATAAAGCATTGACGAAACTACTGTTTATATTACTTATATACGCAGTCCTGGATACGTCGTATAACTATGAAGAATACTGTAATGCGTATTTTTTAAGAAACAAACTTGCTTATTTTTATTTCACTTGCTTATTTTTGTTTTGCAAGAGCAATAAAACGTTTCCTATGTTTGTCTGTATAGTTTGTTATGGGCATGGCACACGATAATTGTCTTTCTGTACTGTTTATGACAATGATGAATGAAATATTCTATGTAGTACACCAACCGATATTAGACTGTAGGACGACATGACTTCTAATCAGAAATATACGCACTTTGAGCTTGTTTTCGCTACTAGTTATCAATCATTATACTATGTTATTTGTTATCTATTATGTGTTTCTTATATAATTTTACAGTTAATAACTGCTTCTCAGGAACTGGATTGTATTGTATGTGAAAATAGAGAAGTGGTATAATGTCCAATGTGACAAGTATCCGTCAGAGACCAAACGTACGAGAATGTGAACAACACATATCACTGTATGGCCTTTTATAGCAAAACCCATACTGTATAGTTGGTAAGCTATGTATGTATTTTGTGTCATTTTGTTTATCTACTGATCGTTATTAAAAAAGGGGGAGTGTTGAAATAACAAAACAAGCTTAACTCTGCCATATTTTCACGTGTCTGTCCCAAGTCAGAAATCTCGTCAGTACGGTTGTCTGGTACATATATCTTAATGTTAGTTATTTGTAGTTTTCGGTATAAATGGTAGATCTTTAATTGATTTTGTAAGATTTATTAACATCTGTTATAATAGACTTGGGACGATTTTAGAGCCTCACATATATATTGTATGACCACTTGTCTATTGTTGAAGTTTAAATGTCGTTTTGTCATGTTTTTCGTTGAATTGCTGACTTAATGACGTATATTCCACATTTCACTTTATTCATATTGTGTATACACATTGTAAAATGTTATGCGTTTGGTTACCAATGGACCGATTCTCTTCAAACTTAATGTATCGGCCCTATCTGGTATTTCTTACTTTTTTCAGTTGAAAATGAGCTCTCTCTTGGAATATTCTATATTTAGATTTTTTTCTTGAATTTTTTCTCTTCATCTCTGATGTAAGCATTGGGCGTTGGACTGAAGTTACATTTTATTAATGAGTTCCATGAACTAGCCGCGTCAGGCAGTAGAAACCTTACAGAGTGGTCGCCCCTTTGACTGTTATCTTCGGGGTCCCAAAATATTTCAAACACAGATTAACCCTAGAAAATGTGAAATTGTATTATATTGTTTGAATGGTTCTCGTTTAGATTATGCTTGAAACATTTGACCTTTGACGATCAGCATTAGTGTTAATATTGATGATTCAAATTATGCTGATGATACCTCCTGGGACCAAGGCGGTTGTACACAAACTCCATGCTGGGAATAACGACCCGCCAGCAGCGGCATCCATTCAGCGCTAAGAAATGGAGAAAAAAAAACACTTCGTCTTAATACATTTGGTGCGTTCGAAGCTCTTTCTGGATTAACCTTCATCAGGAATGCTAGAATACTTTGTTGATCCGATAATTGAATCACATATTGCACTTATTTCCCTGCTAAACAAAATCAACAAAATTATTGTTAGACCCAGTTCATATAAGTTTTCACTAAATTTGGCCATCGAGAATACAGGGGAATGGACTAACCCGGCGCTAAAATGTCCAGCAGTAGTTTTGAATTTTTCGCTAAAATGTCCGGCGTCCGTCTTTTGATTATCTGAATAATGTTATTTGACTGATTTTATAAACTTTTTGATTATCAAAAACGGGATCAAAAACGGGATAAAAAAGCAATTCTTTCATCAACACAGTCACACCCCTAAAAAACAAACAAACAAGCAAAAAAAAAAACAACAAATCAAAACAGAAAGAAAAAGGAAAAGGAAAATAGCACAGACAGATCAACTGTTCGTTGCTTAGGTGACCTCCGAATGGAATGACTCTAGACAACAATGAATGAAGTCATTTAGCTGTAATATTTGCGTTATCATAATTAATTAAAATGTTAATTTTGTAATCGATTTTAATTACGAAGACAGTTATCAATACACAATGTACCTCGCATTTTACTTTTGTTTTAAGTAGTTCTCACATGATAACTTGACATTGAAGAAGATCAAACATTTTTCTCGTTTAAGTTGTCATTATTCCAAACTTAATTCAAAACGGATAATCTACTAGTGACCTAATGGAAATAAATGTGTACATACTATTTTCAGTTTTGATACATGGCACTATGTTTTTTACTTCTAATGGTGAGTACTTCTTGTACATGTAATTAAAGATTAAATGACAGACAACAGACGAAAATCAAATTAGGGTAAAAAATAATTCCCTTATATTCGTTTCGTTCGCAGAATCAATTTCGGAAAGTATCTGTAACCTATTGGAATTTATAGCGCTTTAGCAGCCATATTCGTTATCACCGAATCGACTCAAATTCTCTAATTTTATTTATAACGTATTAAAAGTATATGCCAGAATTACAAAAGTTCCATAGCAAACAATAGACAATTCATGGAATCTTATTGAAGGATTGAATGTGCAGCCCCTCGAAAATTTTACGGACGCCATCAATAAATGGTTGACCGTTATGGAATATCTGTTTCACAGATGGCGACGGATATATATATATATATGTTCTAATCGTCGTAACCACAATCCCGTCCTCCTTGTCCCCGAATGTGACATACCAAATTCGACTTATCACCGGGTGTGTACTTACATGAGCAACAAGAAGAAGAATGAAGAAGAAGAATAATGTTTATTGAATCCAAATTAAGGGCCCGTTTCCGAGGATATACATATATATATAGTATTAATTAATATACAGTAATTTTTAAGATATATTACCTTAAAAATAAATGATTAAATAACTATACTCCTTACCAGATGGTGTTTGACAATAAATAAAATAGAATATTAACCCTCTCTAATACATAAATAAATAAACTACTGTAACATCACTACTACATGTATATTTAGTTAGTTACCGGAATGCAAATTTTCTCTTATTTCAAAACAAGTACTTATAAATCTTGACACTGACATATTAACATTTTCAGACTCGCATGACATTTACCAAATAAATTGTTCATACTTTGAAATATAAGGGAAGTTTTTACATTGAATGCATGCTACATTAAGAATAAAATTCCGTTCCTTTTCATATGCAGTGCATTCCATTAAAAAATGAAACTCTGCATATTTTTACACTGCCCACAAAATCTTTTATCTTTATCGATTTTTTTATATCTACCTTTCTCAGTAGCTAACATGACGGGTGCCACATGTGGAGCAGGATCTGCTTACCCTTCCAGACCTGAAATTACCCCCGGTTTTTGGTTGGGTTCGTGTTGCTCAATCTTTAGTTTTCTATGTTGTGTTTTGCATACTGTTGTTTTGTCTTTTTGTCTTTTTCTTTTTTTTTTTTGCCAAGGCGTTGTCAGTTTATTTTCGACTTATGAGACTGAATGTATCTCTGGTATCTTTCCCCTCTCTTTTCGCATTTCGTGTGTATTCTATGATAAAATTAACCATCCGAAGATTCCCGATGGTTATACATAAATATAAATATAAATAGCATTCAAGAACTTGCAATAGTATAATGACGATTTTTCTAGGTCTGATTGGTTTTATGTCATAAATAAGTTAATTATGGTTTTACCCGTAAACATTTTTTTTTGTGGACCGAAATAAAAAACGAAATGGTTCTTCCTAGTCTCACTTTTCAATTTGACATTCTTTTCTTTAAAATAAATAAATATGAGCACATTATTTCCAACAATGGGTCAAATTAAAGGTTGTAGGCATATGGACCAAAATGAGGTCCAATTATTGCAGTGCAGGACAATGAAATACAAAATGTATAAGCGATGTTTTTATCTTATGTTTGCAAATTGAAGCCTTTTAGACTATTTTCATATTACCGACTTTTGACTCCGGATTATATAATTTGTCGACTGGTTACCTTGGACATCATGGTACCAAGTCAGGTAAGAGCAAGCTAAAGAAGTAAAACCAAGCTTTCAATCGGTACAATTTTGGGGGGAAATTATCTGGTTAATATTTTTTTTTCACTACAAAATCATCGGAAAACAGTAAACTTTCCCCTCAAATTACACCGATTATATGTTTGATTTTACTTATTTTGGTTGCTCTTACTTGACCGAGTACCATGATGTCCAAGGTAACCAGTCGACAAATTATATAATCCGGAGTCAAAAGTCGGTAATATGAAGATAGTCTATTGGCTCCTGATAGCGAATTATTATTTCAATTTTCCGCTTTTATTAATGTCTGAAACAAAAAAAAATCATACTTTATTTTTTCGTCTGAACTGTATAAATATAGAAGTAAAAATGACAAATTAAATTAAAAAATCTAAAGACATATAGGTTAACGATGACACTTTGAAAAGCAACACGAAATTACATAGAGACAATAAGCAATAAAACAGCCTCAAATAAATAGAATCATGTGCAAAACAGTGTAGGCGAGACCATTGATTGGCGCGCTAAAATATCCCATTGACTGTGTCAGATTAGGTGAACGTTCGTCTGTAACGCCCACAACTCACGACGTATTTATTATAAACATTTAAACTGTGGGGTTGCCAAAGGGTTTCAGTATATATACGAACTACAGTGCACAGTATATTATATACATATTTTATTTGCGATCATAAAATGTACGAAGTCATCCATTACTATGTAAATTGGGTCGATTAAAAAAAAAGCTGAAAATGTTTCTGTTGCCAAAGGTTTTTCACAAGTATAGTAGTTAGCAGAAAAGTTCACCAAACTATACATTTTACCTATTCAAAAACGTAAATGCAAATTCCACAAGGCTTGATCCAAATAGCCTTTTTATTGTCTAATAACTTGCAAGTACGAAAAAGACAGGACAGAAGTATATTTTGTCTATATGTTTTGTGTACGCACACTTTTTAAAGTTGATCATGCATTCGTTCTAAAATAAAATTTTGACCAGATAAAAGTTAAAAGATGACATATAATTGGACATGCAACCGCAATTGTTAAATCGCTTTGACGTCCGAAAAAAAAGATAATAATCAACACATGCATTGTAACTTTTAAAGCCAGTTAAATCCTTTTTTTGTTGTTGAAAGAACGTGCGATGCCATAAAAATTGATTATCAAAACATAACGAAAACACAAGTAAAGAACGTTTACACTGAAATGCAGTCAAGTTTAGCGATTGATAATTCATTGATAACATTCTGGCGTATCACAAACAAACAACTTGTAACGTCTCACTTCATTGGCCGAAAGATTTAAATACAACAACAATTGTTGTGTGCACGTGAATTGACACAGGTGACCGACAATGGAATGTACTACGTTACTACGAACGTAAAAAACAATGATTTTTGGTCGAAATAATTAAATAAGTATTTTGTGAATTTCAAATAGTGGGGTCGAAATATTATACTAATAATTTGTGTTAAGTAATATTCTTTATGCATGCAGCACTTGTACCGCACTATGAAAAATATAAGGATAAAATAAAATACATGTGCCGCTTTTATACGGATGAATGTATGAATCACTTTAATTTCTTTCATATTGACGCTAGGTTATTATCCTGACAATGTCGTAGTTACTTATAATAAGGATCTCATAATACTGATCCATTTCAAATTTATGATGGGTTGCACATTCCTCTTTTATTGTTTTCATGCTATAAAACGAAAATAAAGAAGCTAAGCGTTTGGTCTTCAGAAATGACGTGTCATAAACGAGCAAATTGTCCCCGAAAGATCGTACCATGTGTGCACGTGAATAAAGATGTACTATGCAATGTACTATCACGGTCACCACGAAATTCAAATGAATTCTGTGAAGGCATGTTGGTGTAAAAAGGTTTGAAATGTTTCATCGGCGAAGATTTTATTTTTGCATGTGTGGAACTAAAAAATAAATAAATACTTGTGAGAAATGTCGTAGTTTATAAGGAACTATATAAATGTACTGTTTTCGATTTTGATTGGTTGAAAATTTATCCTTTAATTTCATACCGTAAGAATAGAGCTTTGCATAACATTGTTGAACAATCCGCCAAAGTAACGTGTGGCATGCGTGCGTATTAAAATGAAATACAAAATCATACATGTATGATAAACTTATAAACGAAATATTAAGAAATTAAGGATGACTACTGTAAAAGTATGTACAAAAATGGAGTCACCTTTTATCAATACATTTAGTGAATAACCACACTGTTTAAAACTGATTGTTTTCTATGCAACTATTTAAATATTTACAATATATAATTTTCAACCGAGGATAGCAAAACAGTTAATTATAAATTAAGAAAGTATATCGCTGGAGTTTATAAAGTACATTTCCTTCCACTGTGCCATGGTTTGCCATCTCCATTTTTTCTCTAAACAAAGCATGGCTGGTTACATGTTCTGAATTTACTTAGAATTTCGGGATTTATTTTTCAAAATCAAGTAAACTAAATCAGAAAAAAAATCACACTATCCTAAAACTTATGAAAGAATATGAATAATGAACATGACAGTTTATAACACAAACCCATTTACTATAAAAATCGAGCAATATCTTTAGTATGTAATTTGGTTATTTTTGTAGTTAAGTACGGTTTCATTTCAAGTACAACGTTAATTCATCAAGTCCATTGAATAAAAGATAAGGCAGGGTGAGCAACTTGACAAAAAAAGGCAGGATGACGATTTATGTAAAAAATCAGGATAAACGAATAAATATAGTCAGGACCTAACAGACTGAAAAATAGAAAGACAGGACAGAGATAACAACTAAAAAAAATGCAGGACAAAATGTTTCATCCAAGTCCTTCACCCCCAATCAAAATAAAATGGTAGCTCCCTTAATCCAGGACCAATTGAGAGGAGACAGTTGAATTAAATATTTCGACGTGACTGTTAAGATTAAAGTTTAAAATTTTACATGCACATGTATAAAAGCTAGAATTGCCATGCGATAATCAAGAACACAATCATGTTCGGGAATACGACGATGGAAGTTTTTAACGACCTTGACCGGCTACGTGAATACTGATCAGTCCATTCAGCTTTATAGTACGCGTGTTCTATTTTCGCAGGTGTGAGGTCGAAGGTTTAAATTGACCAATGAAAACGATCGTTCCTTAACGAGTTAATCTAATAAAGTTTGTTTGACTGATTATGTTGCACGACCTTTCACTAAGCTTGACCGCAGTTCAGTGTAAGTATTCAATATAAATAGTTTTTCGAATTATTTTATTTAGGCGTTGAGACCCTTTGGTGACCTCACAGTTTAAGTGTCGGTTAGTGTATGGAAAGGTATATACTATGAAATTTAGAGCGAGGGGCTTGTCCCGAGCTCTTAATTTCATAGTATATACCTTTCCATACACTATCCAATTTAGCACATATTTACAACTTGAGTAATCCTATAATTAGTCTATTGATATGTTTTGGCTGACTAGGTGTAGCTCATGTACGTAGTTTTGTAAATCTACTCACTAGTATCATTGTAAAATATTGAATCCAGAATGAAAAGATGGTAGCTGCTGGTGTAAGTATGTTTATTGACATAAAGCGGTGTTTTACTATTCATGTACTTCTTCACATGGTAAGATGACAAAATAAATTGACCAAAAGCAGGCAATAATTAAATTGCAGTGGAAGCTTTACAATCTTGAAAACATTTTTTTCAATTTCACCTGAAAACTAAAACTATAATAAATTTTACACAAATGGATAGTTTGCACTGGCGGATCCAAAAAGGGGTAGGGGGAGTTCAGGAGGGGGATGGAAAACGCCCTTTTTGTGATGATCAATGCTTTTGAATGAGGACATACAGTTGGACCCCCCTTTTATCTTGGGTTGGAACCCCTTTTAAAAATGACTGGATCTGCCCTGGTATGTACCCATAGGTAGTCTAGTGGATAGTTTACATGCATGAAATATTTGTCACTGGACATTAAGCAACCAATAATCAATCAATTCATGACGAAATATATCAAATTGCTGTAATTTTCCTTCACAAGGTTTCATGGTTCACTCTTTTTTGTGTACAAAGTAATTGCATGGAAGATAAATGATTACAATTTTCAGATGGCGTTGTACTCTAATCAAGGTATAAAAAAAAACATATGTGTTACTCTTTATTTAAATGAAAGAAACTTTTAATCGTCAAAAACATTTTTAGATCCAAAGATTAAATAGTAGGATGTTTGAAAAACAATTTGAAAACTAGTTACACACTATTTAGTTTAATTTGTAACACAGCATTTATTTCAAAATAGCCAGTAGCAATTTTTGTTTTAATATCTTGATTACGATACAATGAAATCTTACCCTTGTGGTCATTCATGCGTAGTTACTTAGTACATGGAAAAAGTATGTACTATGAAAATTAGAAGGCAAATATAAGCAATTTGATTGGACGAGAAGTTGTAAGTATGTGCTAAATGTCTATAATAAATACGTCGTGAGTTTTGGGCGTTACAGACGAACGTTCACCTAATTTGACCCAGTCAATGGGATATTTTTGCGCGCCAATCAATGGTCTCGGCTACACTGTTATGCACATGATTCTATGCTCGCAAATGAAAAAAATCAAGAACACCCATTTTGAAAACGACACGTCAAAATATCCATAAGTAATGTTGACAACATTAAACAGACGTATTGTAGGGTAAATATGACAAGTTAAACTGAGAAAAAAAATGCACAGACACGAGTATAAAACGGCAACTGGCGTATTTGCATCTCAAGTTTAACACAAAATCATCATAACTGATATTGTCTGCATCTTTTTTGTAGAATGAAAAAAAAACATAAGTCCTTCAAAATGAAGTGTTTTTTTTTTGGTTTTTTTTAAATTTAAGTTATCATACTTACATTGTATATCGATATCGACAATTTGAATCAGAATAAGTATTGTATGAAAAAGAATATTTTCAAAACGGGGAGGCCACTTAAGCATACATAATAGAATAATCAAAGTACTGAAGTACTGAACATCGGATGACTGCAAGTTCTTGTGGATGGTCACAAGCATTGTCTCAGAAAAAAAAATCACATCTCTATACATGAAAGTGAGGTTAATGTACAGATATATTTTTTTTTCTTAGACAAGTTCGTTCGTGGATGATAAATAAATGACAGGGAATTCAACCTCACCGTAATAAATATGATATTGAAGTGATACAAATCAGTATACTCTGGTTTGTTGTTATATATTATATTAATATTTGTATATTACAGTTTCATGTATATATAATTTTCATCCATTTGTATATCATTCTATTCTACTATATTAATAATTGTGCAGTGCAATTGCATGGTGGACACTCTTCTGTAATAATTCGATTTTTCTTATAGATTGGATTTGAGTAGGCATTCATATTTTCCCGCCAAACTTTCAATCTCCCATGCAGAGTTATTGGTCCTTGAGAGAGAGCGAGGACCGATAACTCTGCATGGGAGATTGCAAACGTTCTTGAGATATTCTTCCGCATGCGTTAACACACATTTTCTGTACGTGTGCATAGATATTAAAGATTTTTTACTTATATATATATTTCTAACGACAAAACATTTTCATATTATTAATTTATGTTCTAAAAAAATATTTTTTGGAATATCAATTGAAAAAAATGAATTTATAACAAGCGATAAGGAATGTTATTTTGCACTCGAAAATGTCCGCGTATTTATCATGTTTTTAGATCGGTTACAATCCCAACACGAAAGTTACGTAATGGAAATCTAGTCGACAGCAATACACCGGAATGCCCTCACGGTCATCCGATGTAAAAATGGATTTCACTGATAAAGTTCAGTAGCCCTTTTCACAAAAAATCTTAAGTGTAAAATTAATCTTACGATAAAAATATTTAGTTGAATTGTTAAGGAATATTTTAGACTTACGATAAATTTTACACTTAAGATTTTTTGTGAAAAGGGCTACAGATATAAATTAAGTATGCAATAATATGTTGGAGGTCGATTATCAAATATTTGATAAAAAGAAAATTTCTTCTCAAAAAAAAAAGAAAAGAAGAAGCGGACGATACCAGAGGGAGAATCAAAGCTCGAGATCATATGTCGGAGAGAGACCGAAAAAAATAATGAAAAAAAAATGAATCATGACCAAAGGACGAACGAGTCTACAAAACGCTGCATACACAAATTACGAACTTACCCATACTGCGCTGATAAGTTCAATATATTGTTGCGAAGGATGTAGAATTCCCAATTGACAGTTGCAACTCTTTAAATAAAGTTTTACTATTCCTACTGTTTCAATATTGCAATAACGCCGACCTTGTACTCTTCCAAATAATCTGATTACAAATAAAATTGGTAAACTAATTGTATTGGCTTTTGATAAATCAGATATGTGGTTAACTTAGACAGCTTTCAATTTAAGCGAACATATTTTGATCCTGCTTTCCGAATTATATGCCATCTTTTATTTTCATGCTCAGGATACTGATTATCTGGTTGGTAGCTAGACTGTGCAGGATTTTAATGTTTTTTTTTTAATTTTACGACATGTTGTCTATATGCAGGAGGTTTGTGTACACGTAAAATTGATTAAATTTCAAATGTGAGTGCCTATATTATACTTAATACTTTGGCTTTGTTTGTACGTTTATTTTTCGGATGAGTCGGGTGCTAATTGTTGATCTGTTCTGGTGTGCTGTCTAATATTTTTTGCAATACATGTTATCTTTTTTTGTACTTTTTAAATGATAAATAATTCACGAGTTTACAGTTGTGCAACACCTATATATGATTTTTGAACTTGTTCAATAGTCGATGGTATCCAGAGAATTATGCAAAAAAAATCATTTTGCATTCCGTGAATATGACACACCTTTAACCAATATGTATGACTGTCTATTGTTTTGCACAAATTCATACTAACACAGCTTGTCTGTTTTGTCTTTTTACCACAGTCTCAAAACTACGCGCGCTTTGTTTTCTGTATGGTTTTTGTGATATGATATCAAATTCTTTATTTTAGCTGTCGAATCAGATAAACTACCTAATATTGAAACAACAAGGTCAACACAAATGTCAACTTATTGTACATCACAGATGACAACTAAGTCTACATCTCAGGTGTCAACTAATAGCACATCACAGATGACAACAAAGTCTACATCTCAGGTGCCAACTAATCGCACATCACAGATGACAACTAAGTCTACATCTCAGGTGCAAACTAATCGCACATCACAGATGACAACTAAGTCTACATCTCAGGTGTCAACTAATAGCACATCACAGATGACAACAAAGTCTACATCTCAGGTGCCAACTAATCGCACATCACAGATGACAACTAAGTCTACATCTCAGGTGCAAACTAATCGCACATCACAGATGACAACTAAGTCTACATCTCAGGTGCCAACTAATCGCACATCACAGATGACAACAACGTCTACATCTCAGGTGACAACTAATTGCACATCACAGATGACAACAAGGTCTACATCTCAGGTGCTAACTAATCGTACATCACAAATAACTAAGTCTACATCTCAGGTGCCAACTAATTGCACATCACAGATGACAACTAAGTCTACATCTCAGGTGCCAGTCTATAGTTATCACATATCACAGATGATAACAAAGCCTACATCTCAGGCGCCAACTAATCGCACATCACAGATGACAACTAAGTCTTCATCTCAGGTGCCAGTGCCAAGTTATCACACATCACAGATGATAACAAAGCCTACTTCTCAGGCGCCAACTAATCGCACATCACAGATGACAACTAAGTCTACATCTCAGGTGCCAACAAATCGCACATCACAGATGACAACAAAGTCTACATCTCAGGTGCCAACTAATCGCCCATCACAGATGACAACAAGGTCTACATCTCAGGTGCCAACTAATCGTACATCACAGATGACAACTAAGTCTACATCTCAGGTGCCAGTGCCAAGTAATCACACATCACAGATGATAACAAAGCCTACATCTCAGGCGCCAACTAATCGCACATCTCAGATGACAACAAAGTCATCATCTCAGGTGCCAACTGATTGCACATCTCAGATGACGACTAATCGCTCATTACAAAAGACAACTGATGTCCCATTTTGTATGTGTCCATGTTCAAGAATAGAAAGATGGAGTCGCTTTGCAAATGTAACAATAGAGGAATTAGCGATCCTTTTACATGATGAAATAGAAGAAATGAAAAATGAATTAGCAGTAAAAAAGAAATCCTCGTCGAAATACATCCGAACAATTACTTCAGCTCCAGATGACAGACAATCGTCAAAATCTATGGGATTTGTCTCGATTGTTTGTATATTAGTTCCCTTTGCTTTTATAGTAATGACTGATATCTTAAACGTATATCTACATTTTTGCAAAATTCCTGAAAATAACATTCGTTTTGTTCGATGTAAGGGTAGTTCTCCTGTGTAATGATGACTTTGAAAAAATCGAATACAATTCACACATCTGTTCGTTTTCTTAAGCGTAAATAGATCATCTTAGATGTGCTGCTACATGTAATATACTTTTTTTCAAACGTTACATAAAAAATGATGGACACAAATGTGGTTGCGCAAATATAAGCAGAACAAGCCAGATGAATATGGTTGTATTCAGAGAATATTTTACATTACTCAGTAAAAGAGTTTTTTCTGATATATATTGTCATGATTTTTAATAAAATTCATCTTTTCTTAATGATTTGATACATAAGATACTATGTACTGTAACAACTTACCACCAAAAGATCCATGGATAACAACACTGTAATTGTGAATTAAATTACTTTAAATTTGAGAAAAGAAAAGAGGAAAATAAAATATAATAAATTGTCATACATAGGATCTGCTTACCCTTCCGGAGCCTGATATCACCCCCAGTGTTTGGTGGGGCTCGTGTTGCTCAGTCTTTAGTTTTCTGTGTTCTGTATTGCTTCGAAAATTGAATATGAAATCAAAGACAGAAATATTATCGTATCTATATAATGGCAAAATTTTCCAAATAGTTTTATTGAAGGTGCACTGTCTAGTTATACTGCAATGTGAAAATACAATAAATATTCGTTAAACGGCTCCAGTTGTTATGTAGACATATTAATTAAGCCATGGGATCAAATACATTATTTGCTCGGAAGGTATTAGAAAAAATTTGGCCATAATTGTACTACTATTAAATCAAAGGAAATTATCAAAGAAGTAAACTAGATCTAGCAAGAATAGGGACGTTGTGGTCCATATCAAAATGAGAAGATGTGAAAAGGCTGTAAATGGGACCACTTTCAATTAAAGATTAAAGGGTGAGGATGTAAAAATAAACTATTAATAGGTCACTGAATGGCCTTAAACAATGAGCAAAATGTAGTGAAGGCTATAAAAGGCCCAAGTATGACAACATGTGAAACATTTCAAACGAGATAACCAACGGGTATAATTTATGTTAAAACAATAATGCCAAACATTAACCAAATATAACCACTGAATTACAAGCCCGTGACTTGGGGCAAGTACATAAGAAAGGAGTGCGGATTTTGGGGGATTAAAGTTTAACACTGCTTTCAAATCAAATAAATGAAAGGCAAGGGGAGAGGGATTGGGTATTCATAGCATCAGTATAATTGGGAATTACTTAAAAGTTGTTAAACTTTCTTTGTAAATTCATATATCCACCGAACATATCTCAATACAATTTATCTCCCCTTTCTAATTATATTTTCCGTGTTATGTTTTATATTTAAAAATCTAGTAGCTATGTGTTCTTGATTACGATAGGTTATAACTACCAAACAAATAAATATAAATATCAAAAGTGGTATAATTATTTTAAATGATTTTTTACTAAATTTCATCGAACAAATAATCATTAAGAAATAGCTGATGCGGTCTCCATAGCTAACTAACATTAAAGATAGAATAGGTACACATATAAAAAGGAAGAAAATAATATCAAAATATATTGCTTATTCATGTTTATTAGCAATAATCGTAATATAAAAGAGTAGTTGGGCTGCGTCAGTGGAAACTGCAGGGCCGAAACCCCACAATATTTCTCAGGTAGTGAAAATGTTTAAATTAACGAAGTATCCACACGACTATGCCAACCGTCAGATATATCGACTTATTTATATATATCAATGTAGCAGACGATTTATCTATATTATAAATAGATCAAAGGGGAAGTATTGGGTTGTATTAGATTTCAACATGATATCTTATCTATCAATGAAATTTAGCTAATAAATACTTCTTGAAGATAAAAAATAGGTGGGAGCCCAGGGGACCTTGCATTACTACTACTTTCCGATGACTATTGACAGTCAGGTTGACCAGGGGCGTAGCTACCCGGAAGCATGACAGCACGTGCATCCACGTCGATTTCACAAAAAAAAAAGAAGAGAGAGAGAGAGAGAGAGAGGGGGACAAAGTTAAATCATAGGAATTTGTCTTTCTATGTATGTATTTTAAAAACTACACAAAGAATAAAAGCAAGAGGAAAAAACATGCAGCGAAATTTTTAGTCCTATATATAAGACATGTATGTGTACGATAAATACATACAACTGGTGTAAACATAGTGGAACTTTTTATATTACGGACATTGTTTAGAAAAACAGCTACATAATTGTCGGTACCACCACCATAACGTATACTAGCTTTGAGTTGAAAAAACAACATATAATCCCTTTAGGGTTAACAAAAAAACTTGAAAATTATTATTTTCCGCTTCGCCCCAAAGCACACATCTTACTAGAACGAAGACTCTTCAACTCGTATCGATCCGGGAATAACGACTGTTACCTTGTGAACTAGTTCAAAAATTGACCAAGTATGTAGGTCTTGACAACACGAATACTTCATTTTCACATCACGTCAACATATTCTCGTCCTGGTGTGCATGTAATATTTGCTACTGGGCATTAATAACCATTCAATCAATCAATAGTTTCCGTAAACTAAGACGAGAAGTTGGAACTGCTGTTATTATAAAAAAAAAGTACACATTTCCAGTACATGTATTACGTTTTTTTATTTATTTTACAAAAAAAAACATCTTGTATACCGAACTATTTGGTCATTCAATTTTATAATGAATTTTCTGTCCGAGTCGGACACTAAACTGCGGATTCTTAACGAAACACCAAACTTTTAATACACGTATCTTCACTGTTATCATCTAGATATTGCAATACAACTTGTCGAATGCATATGTATTTGTTAATTAGCTGGATAATTAACAAACGCAGACCATGAAAGGTCGTGATCAAAGTACCATTCCCTCTGAAAAAGTTCCTTAATTTCAACTGCGTAAAATAAGAAATTCCTATCTCTCTCTTGTAGAGTTTACCCACAGAATTTTTAAACATCAAAATACATATGTTCAGCAAAATATTGGAGAATGTGTCCACCAAGTATTTGGTATCCAAAGAAGTGTATGCTAACAAATTCCACATATAGTATTGTGTTTATGTTTATTGTTTGTTTTTTATCCATCTACTTTGCTCAATACAAATACTAGCATATGGAACAAACCTCCGTGATTTTAAAAGCTCTCATGGCGTACAAAAAAGGCAAACGGCAATGTTTAGTCTTCATTCGACTAGAAGTTAAACAAATAGTTGACCAAAAAACCACAACAAAAATATGTTTTTATTACGGTTGTGATTGTTTGAAACGCTATATATGCGGATTTTCCGGGGGGCTTCGCCCCCTAGCCCCCCTACGAGGGCTTTGCCCTGGACCTACTGGGGGCCTTAGGCGGCCCCCAGACCCCCTAGCCCTATTGTTTGTGATTCCACTTCGTTAAGAAGGTAGCTACGCCCCTGGGTTCACCACTGACGTAACCAGTATTTAAAAGCAAGGGCAGCTAGTTATTTCTATAAAAATAACACCCTATGACATGCATGACATGTATAGTGCCACATTGGAATATATTTTAAACTTTATGTAATTGTAAGGTTTGTGATATCTTTGTTAGACTAGTGGACTAATAAGAACGAATACCAATGTTTGCTTTTTACTATGGCGACTACGTCTTCTGTAAATATTTCAAAGCTGAATGAAGAAAAGATCAGAAAATATGAGCTTTTTTGTTCATTCTAATTTATGAAAAAATACCAAATTATCAAAATACCCATATTAAACACTCGAATTTAGAAGAGAAGATTTGTTTTATATGGCGCCCCAAGAACGCATATAGTGTTAGTTTTGTAATTTTGAAATTATTGAGAAACTAATTAAGGTTTCAACTCCCTGAGGTAAAATCGACCTTTGATTGAAAGGCTTTTTTGGTCATATAGCTCGTTAACTGTTTCGGTCCTATACATCATTGACTTTAAAATATAATCGTTTTCATAACAGTGTGTACGGGACCATTTCTTTGCGCGCTAAGGTTATCAATTGACCGGGTCAGATTAGGTGAACGCTTGTCTGTAACGCCCACTTATCACATCGTACGTGTTATAGACATTTAAACTGTGGGGTCGCCAAAGGTTCTAAATGCCTAAATCAAATAATCGTGACGAAAAACTAGCAGAGGACTGAACCTTGTGTGTGGATTTTAATGTTGAAAACGTAGACATTCTAGTTATCTTATCATGCACATGCATTAACTTTACTCTTTTATTCTATTTAAATCCTCACTGGAAGGCCTCTGACAGACTTGAGTGAGGGTAAAATCATTGTTATCAATGGCCGATGACAAACAATTATTGATTCAGTATTATTACCAACATAAGTATTGCGGTTGTCCACACTGTTACGGGAATACCTCTAATTAGACTTTGAGAGTTACAGACGCATGAAATTTATAAAGTGTAGTTTTCATTTGTTATATCATCATTTTTTTCAAATATTATATAGACAAGTGTATGTACATTCATTATAAAATAAGGGGATATGGAATGATTGCCTATGAGACAACTATCAACTAAACTCCAAATGACAGGAATTTAAACATTTCATTTGTTATATCATCATTTTTTTCAAATATTATATAGACAAGTGTATGTACATTCATTATAAAATAAGGGGATATGGAATGATTGCCTATGAGACAACTATCAACTAAACTCCAAATGACAGGAATTTAAGCATTCAAGTACGGTCTTCAACAATGAGCAAAACCCATACCGTAAAGTCAGATATAAAGGCCCCAACAAGACAAAATATGAAACAATTCAGAGGACAAAACCAACAACCTGATTTATAACAAACAATGGGCTTTGCTCATTGTTGAAGACTGTACGGCGATCTATAGTTATTAATTTGTGTATCATTTGGTCTCTTGTGGAGAGTTGTCACATTGGCAACCATACCACATCTTCTTATTTTTATAAATCCATGTAAACCAAATATGACAGACAGCAACCAACGACAACCACTGACTATGATTACAGGAACCTGACTTGTGAGAGGAACATATAGAATGTGGCGGGATTAAACATGTAAGCGATGAACACTCAACCTAACCTGCACTGGTGTAATAGCAGGACATAAGAACAAATTGTAATAATCATATGGAAATGGCTTGAATCTTTTGTTTTTGTATGTTTGATATAATTTGGTGTTGAGTTTTTTTAATCATGAATGCACTTCT